TTAAAAAAAAAAAAAAAAAAAGACGAGAGCAGAGTCTGGCAGTACTTACTCTTAACAAACATGTGCTAAACACACACACAGTTTACAGTTCACACTCTCCCTATTTTCAAAAGGGCTGGGATGACTTTATACATATATAATATAATCATTCCAAGACTGAGATTCAGGTAATGATGGGAAGACAGAGAGGAAGGACAGGGAAAGCAAGCGGCTTTCACTGGGCCCTGCATTTCAACTCCAGGCTAAGATATAATTTTCCAGAGAAGTGTGGCTCTGTGAAAGAGCAGAGACGACACGGCATAAAATAGCACGGTCTTTCTATTCCCGCTCAACCTGAGAGTGGTCTGTGTGCGCGCGCGCGTGTGCATGGCTGTGTTAGCAATTTAAGCAGGTGGTATGAGAGTTCTTTCATTCATTCACTCAGTTAACATCTCAGTGCCCACTATGCTGGACATCGGAGCCATAAGGTTGAATTAGGTACAACCTCCATCTTAAGGAGTTCCATGAACCAGGCAAGTTGAAATTACTAGCACAAACCACAATCTAAATGAAATTATTTGTCAGTTTCTTCTGTTTTCTCTGCTTCATAAAAGATGAGGCTCAATTTACATTTAGGTTTGTGAAGTCCCACCAGAGCACTCTGTAGCTGCACACACATAAACAATGATTTTGTGTTCTAATTTTCATCTGCTTATTGAATTACGAGTTCAAACTTTGGGCAACTGAAGGAGGATATCCTTGAACCCAAGGCATTGAGCCAAAGCATAATATGCAAAGCTGCGTCTTGGAATAGTTCCTTCTTGTTCCGGGTGCCTACGTAGAGCCGCAGGTGACCTGGCCAAGTTTTCTCGTGGCTTCTGACTGATGAAGGCCAAATCATCAATGCTTTGCTTACTTCCACTTGTCTCCTAGATGTCACCGGCAGGCTGCAGAGCAAAGGTGCAGCAAGGGAGGGCCTAGTGGGAGTCAAAGAGGTGACGTGACAGGTGAAGCAGGAAAGAGAGAGACCACGACAGGGTGGCCAGGCAGAAAGAAACCGGGAAGGGTGTGGGAAGGACAGGATGAGAAGGCAGGCAGCAGACACGCTAATTTAGGGTTGGCTAACTGTTCTGTAAGAACTAGGTTAGTGCAAACAGAACGCTGGGTGCCAGAGCCAGCATGTATGCAAACACAGAGCCAAAGCAAAAAATTAACACAGGTCAGAAGGCCCAGATTTAGCTGCAATTTCTGGACAAGAAAACCACTTACAGTCAGGAAGTGAGTTTACATCTTCCCCAGGAAACTCTGACTTTTTGGTAGAAAGGTAAGTTTTTAGTTATTTTTACAGAGTGGATGAGCCTTCAATGTAAAGTCCTTCAAGTTTTTTGATATTAACACTTTTCATAAGCATATCTTAAATATAAAAGCCAAGTTTTTTAAAAATCAAGCACTCTATTTGTAGCTAAGACCATGTTATTTATTACTGTTCAATCATAGTATTGGAAGAGGGGAATAAAAGCCTAAGAAGTGGCCAAAGTTCAATAGCTCACAAGATGAGCACTGTTTCCCACAGAGGACTTTTAAATGCCTGGAGTGACTAAGACTAAATCGGTGCACACACAGGGAGCAAAGGTCACTTAGTAGCTCTATTGTTCATACTAAGGAAAAGTACAGAGGATTGTGTTTGGGTAAAAAAAAATTAACAAAATCAAGGAAACAAATTTTAACTAATTCCCATAATTAAAGTTTAAAACAACTTTTAAATTGTGGGTCTATAACATGGTTGATTTCTTAATGTGTTTGCTCCTACTTAATATTTAAAGTTTTAAAGCACAAAGTTTAAACGATCCATATTTGTTCAATGACTACCTCCAAAAGTTGAATCGTTTTACTAGATTTAGTATTAAGTAATGACTGAGATTTTTAAATGTTGACAGTAGCCATACAGACTGGTGTTTGATTGTATTTCAAGTTTAAAAACGGACTTTCCTAAGTATCTGGTTACTTCCCCCAAGAGTCACAGCGAATACTGGACTTTTCCTAATCATCACACAACTGTTACACGATTCAAAATACCAAATATTTTATATGCTCTAAAACTAAACTACTATCTACCACCAAGGCCTCTGAGGTTTTCTAAAGTAAATTCTGTTCTACCCCAGGGCTTCTCTACCCGGAGGGAACTGTGCCCCGGGGCAGGGTGGGTGTCGTTGTTAATGCTGGAGACACCTTGGTGGTCTCAATTAGGCTGCAGCTGGCACCTAGTGGGTGGAGGCCAGGGATGTTCATAACGATCCTACAATGCCCAGAACTGTCCCTACAACAAAGATTATGGGCCCCAACAGGTCAAGAAGGCCCCTGTTGGGAAGTGCCTTGCCTTTCTGAACAGAAGCAAGTGAATTTGCAAATACAGCTGACACCTTGGGGGGGAACCGACGACAACACAATTGCTACAGGGACCCAGACCCAATAAAAGTTGCTTTTCATACTATTAAAATGATGATCCGACAGACAAGAAGGGGAGAGTACTCCCACTACGATGTCATCAGAAGTTGCTTTAAAAAAAGAGCATTTCAGGAGACAGGGAAAGGAGATGGTGATATTCTTGACAATTTTCTACCATGCTTCAATTTTCAAGGACAGATACCAATGCATCATTGCTTTTCGATGACGTTTAAGTCCTAAGCCACTTTCCCTGCCCCTGCTCAGATTCTTAACCACAGAAAACTTTACCGTGAAGGGGAGGAAAGTTAACCACATGGCACTGAGTGGCCTCAGATGGGACCAAAGCACCTGTCAGGCCTCCTAACGTTTACCTGGCAGAAGGACCGGTTCCAGTTTTTTAATTGGTTCCGAATTCACCTTATCGTCAGCCTGAAACACAACAAAATAAATCAAAATTAAAACTTCTCCCCAGGACATACGAAAGCAAACTCCGGTTTCTAAGCGATGACACAGGTGACAGACCCCAAGCTGCCTC